GGGGGGAGCGGGTGGGCGGCCGCGCGCGGCGGAGGCGGCGGGACCCTCACCGGGTCACCAGAGAGCGCGCGCTCAGAGACCGTCCCGCTCCCGGTGCTGTCCTCCGCGCTGCGGGGACGCCAGGCAGCCCGAAGGCCTCCGCAGCTTAGGGTTAGCGAATGAAAAAGGTGGGGCGAGGGGCAACTACACGTGAGGAAAGAGCAAGACGCTCGGAAGAAACATCCCGGATTCCCAAAGAATCCTAGAATTGAAAAATAGAGCCTTTGAAATTCAAGTGTCAAAGAATGAGGTAAGGAAGCAGATTAAACACAGCAGAAGAGAAAATCACTGAACTGGACTATAGATCAGGAGCAATTAACCAGAGAGACAAGGCGATGGAGAATTTTTAAAAAGTTAGTGGGCTCAGGTAGGACGCGGTGTTACAACACCAACAGCAAGGGTTCGGATCCCCACGCCAGCCAGCTACCAAAAAAAAAAAATAGTAGTGACAGAATGTTAAAGTGAGAATAACTTGCAGGTCCAATCAGAGTTCCAGAAAGCGAGGATAAAAGAAGGTGGAGCATCAGGTCCTGAAGGAAAGCTTCCAAAATCGAATGAAGACCAAGATCCTCACGTAAAATCCAGAGCAGGATAAATAAAAATAAAATCAATATCTAAACACTTGGTAGTGAATTTGCAGAACTCCAAAGACTAAGAGATCTTAAAGCCTATGAAAAAAGGATGGATTAACTAAAAGATTACACCAAGGGCAGACTTCTCAGCAACAAACAGAAGCCAGAATAAAATGTAATAGTATCTGATGGAGTTTGGATGTGTTGTCCCCTCTAAAACTCATGTGGAAATTTGGTCCCCAATGTGGCAGTGTTGGGAACTGATTGAGTCATGGGGGCGGATCCCGCATGAATGGATTAATGCTCTCCCTGGGGTAGTGAGTGAGTTCTTGTTCTATTAGTTCCCGCAAGACCTGATTGTTTAAAAGACCCTGGCACCTCCTCTCTCTCTCTTGCTTCCTCTCCCCATGTGATCTACTTGTACCCACTGGCTGCCTGCCGCTTTCTGCCATGAGTAGAAGCAGCCTGAGACCCGTGCCAGATGCAGCTGTTCTAGAATCATAGCCAAATAAACCTCTGATCTTTATAATTTATCCAGTCTCGGATATTTATGTTACAGCAACACAAAATGGACTAATACAGTATCCAGTATCTTCAAACCACTGAGAAAAATACTTTCTACCAGTTATTGACCCAATTTAAGAGTTAGGGAGAAATAAAGATATGTTATGGCAAAGAGTTTACACAAAAGACCATTGCTGAAATTTTTTTTTTTTTTTTTTTTTTTTTAAA